CACCACCCTTCACGATTGTCATCCTTTATATGCGCCCCTGCACCGTTAATCTTTGCCATCCCTATGCAAGTCAGCTCGATGTATTTGTTTTCTCAAATAATAAAAAATAAATAAAAACGAAAAAAAAATCCTTTCAAAATTGAAATCTTCTATCAAAATTCCCTCTTGCATGAGCATATTAGGAAAAGAATATTTATATATGGTTTGGCTTCCTTTATTAGCATTTTGACTTCATTTATATTTATCCTTATATTAAAAAATCTCTAAATTATCAAATTTAAGTAACTTACCCAATTCTGTAATTGTAACTTTTATTTATATAGAGCACATTCCATAGTTTTCCTTACATGTGAAATCGCTCTCTTGTGCTAAACCATGTAAAATCTTTGTAGTTTGGAAGGAAGGGAATCAACAACAAATCATGCATATGATAGAAGACAACAACAAACAAAGATCTAGTTTCTTTACATTCCTTTCCCTCCCTTCATCAAGCAACAAAGCCAAAGCCAAGAATGATTTGCCTGAAAAGAAACATTACCCTTTTGTACAGCCAGAACTCTCCAACTTGAAAACCTACTGCAGCCATTATACTTATCTCCTCCTCAAGTTGATTAGAAATGTCTCCATATTTGCCTCTAGACAAAGTGATCTCAAGGGTATTATTGCCATAATTTTATAATCTTATTGGTGAGAAATTCGAACAGCTTTACTTCCTTGACAGTACCCTCATAAGCCTATTCATGTACCATTGGCATTTCTGGAGCAAACCCTTCATCCCTTAGGATACCTATTTGATGGTAAGGGCCCTGTGAGTCCCGTTAGTGATAATTCGGTCACGGTGGTTCCCTGAGAGTTCTCCTTCCTCCGCCCTACGATCACCCAAGAGCGAATGGTATGCGGATAACTGAAATCCCTGATTGTTTAGGTAGCAGCTGTTGCCACTATTGACGTTGGAGTATGTCTTGTTTTGGTGGATTCCCTGCATGTGGCGGTCAGTTGGTTCACGAAGATCAGTGTAGGAATCAGACCAGACGGGCTCGGTGCTCGACGAGTTGATTTGATCCGCTTTAGTAGTTGCACCAGAACTGGTTGTGTTGTTGTTGGCTGTGGGGTTAGCGGCTGTACCATCATTATTCTTTGTGTTCAGAAAACGGCCTCCGCTTCCTCTTGCCCTCCTCATGGCATGCAAATGACGGGACTCGTGGAGATAAGGCTGTGAAATGTGACTAGTTAACTCTTATAAATGAGCTCCAATATACTCCAAAACATTAGTTTTAAGTACAAATACAATTTACCTAACTAAAAGCTGCTATAACTTTAATCAGTGTTTATTGTAAACAAAGAAGAGTTGTAACTAGAAAAACATTCATATCTTGTTACACATGGTCCCTGAAATTCTCATTGTCACTATATCTACCACTTGATTTGAAAAAAAACCATTACCTCACTAATTATAGCCATTGCCTATTAGCTGTCTAATTGAATAGAAATCTCCGAATTTAGGTCTAAATCGATTACAAAACGTGGTTAACTACCAAGCCTATTTAGATATCATATTACACGTGAATCAGGCCCTCTTAATGGTCAATATCAAGTATTTCAGCCATTAATAAAAATAGTTCACTAGTAATTTCTGAATGATATCTTACAATAACAAAGATTTCTCTGGTCCTAATAATCAGTGACACAGATATATGCTTCCCTAGAGAACCTGTTACCTCCGATCATAACAGAAATATCTTATTTTTAGTTGCATGTCCCTGCTGAA